GGCCCGAGGGTCATTCTGACGCGGTACTGAGCGGCCCGTGGTCCCACTTTAGGAGCGTCTGATGTCAAATCCCTATAAATGGTGAGAATTGGTTCATCTGCCTGTCCTGCGTTCAGACGTCCCGAGGGCAGGCTGATCGTTCCCCAGGCTCCCCTTCCCACGGCACACCCACAGAGACAACCCGTGTTGGGGCGTGTTCTGCACACCTGGAGGAAGGTGCACAGTCGCAGCCATCTGGTCTGACGACTTATCACCACCGTCCTTACGTTTGCTGTGTAATCCGTTATCCGAAAAGCAGCAGCTTAACGTGACGTGCACTTATTATCTGGGGTTCCTGCGGGCGCCCTGCTCGCGTCCCTGCTCGCAACCCCCGGTCAGGTTGGGTCAGGTCAGGCTGGGGCAGCCAGGCTGCGGGCCCGTCTGAGGCTCCACTGACCCCCGACCACGCTGACCGGGCAAGGGGCAGCCTGGTGGGCGAGCCTCTCCTCTGGCCACGGTGCTGCCAGGCGCTGGCTTCTCCCACGGCGGGCAGTGGTCCTGCAGAACGCCCAGGACACGCCGGCCTCGTCCTCCCCCGATCCCAGCGGCATCTCTCACTCACATTTGCGGGGAGCGACCTGAGTTCGGCCACCACTCGGTGGGGAGATGGCACAGCTGTGTGGACCAGAAGGCGGGTCCCCGCCCGGGGTCCCCACGTGTCCGGCACCTGGCCTAGGAGATAAAGCTCAGCACCAGCGTAGATTTCCGGGACCCCCTCTCCTCCACAGCCCAGACACGCTGTGAGGGACCGCGTGGCTTCCCTTGCAGCTCTGTGAGTCTGGAAGACTGGCTGGACTTCTCCAACAGCAACGTGGAGAAGGCCGACAGGCAGAGGAACAACTCGCTGGCGCTGAAGGCCCTGGTGGCCCGGATCCTGTCGCAGACGGCCAACGACCTGCACAGGCAGTGCGACGTGGTGGACACGGCGTTCAGGAACGGGCTGAAGGAGACCAAGGCTGCCAGGGACCAGCTGGCCACCCACCTGGCCAAGGTGAGCGCCCTGGAGGGGGGCCGCCGGGCCGGGCTGCCGGCCTCCAGGCTTGTGCTCGCGGGTTGACCAGGAGGGAGGTGCGCTCATAGCTCCCCGTCTTTGCAGCAGGGTGTGGGCTTCTGGGGACCGGAGGGGATTTGGCCCACTCTGGGCCTCAGTTCCTCCTGCGTGAGATGTGGCCGCGGGCTGGAGGGTGTTGACCACCTCTGTGACCCTGGCATTTCCCTGAGTCAGTTTCCGCACACCCGTGGCCGGCTCGGGATTCTGGCTCCTTGTGCCTCTCCGTTCCCCGGGACGTGCTGGTAAACCAGCGCTCAGGAAACAATTCAAAACGCAAGGCTCTAATTTTTCGCATTTGCAGGTTTCTGTGGTGGAAATACGTCCACCACGGTCAGTTTCAAGCTGCCTATTTAACAGGGGGCTGGCAAGGTTCCCGAGTAGTGAGCGATCGCAGCCCCACAAGGCAGCACCCCTGGGTCCTGGGCATGGGTGGTGGGTCCGGAGCAGATATGTGGGCAGGAGGGGTGGGCAGGCTCCACGCACATCGGGCCAGCCGGGTAGCACTGCCCCAGAGGATCGGACGCAGCCCCGGGCGCCGTTCACCGTCTCTAGCAGCCTTTCACAAAGGTGGAAAGGCACATGTTTTATTTAACCCAACACATCAAGAATATTGCTTGAGCGTGTTATCAGTGTACATAGTGACGCAGTTTACGTTCTTTTTTAAAAACCAAGTCTTCAAAACCCGACGTGTATTTTGCACTCCAGCCCGTCTGGTTTGGGGCTAGGCTTGCAGGCGCTGGCACAGCCCCGGGGATGGGACCCTCTTCCTTGGCTGTGGGAGGGCCCCAGAGAAGGTTCCCGGCAGGCATGGGCTAGAGACAGTGGCCCCAAAGCCCACGCACCACAGGAGCTAGCCCACATTTAATCTGCAATCGTCCTCGTACTGAGAAGAGTCGTGGTTGAAGAGACCAAGTGGGGAAATCAGTCAGGGTCCCGTCAAGGTGAAGAGTAGGACTTAACACGGGGACTGTTCCCTCTCCTACGGGCCAATCGGCCGATGGAGAGTGGTACTGCCCGGGTGGGTGGCCTTGCTCTGTGAGCAGCTGGGTCAGGGAGCGTGTGGGGGCCCCGTCCTGATTCTAGAGAAAAGCCTCTCTCTGGTCAACCTGTGGCTAGAAGAGACAGCAGGCTGAGAAGACCAGCCCCCAAGGCAACGGTGGGGTGACCCCGTTTCATCTTTGGAGGCACATTTGTTTCCTTATTGGGCATATTTTAGCCCCAGCAAAATTTAAAATTAAGAAAAGGAATGTTTAATCTAACCCAGGGTTTAGGTTATCTTAAGGGGACAGCACACTTTCTCTATAAAGGTCAGATAGCAACTATTTTAGGCTTTGTGGGCCAAGAGGCCAAATCAAGGAATTCTATATGTGATTTATAGAATAAGAAAGAAAACAAACATCCACAAACATCTCATTGCCAACCCTGAAGATAAAATAATAATAATTGAGTCTAGTTTTTTGAAATACAGGCTTACTGAATAAAAGGAAGTAATTCTCTTTGGAGGAGCACCAATATCTTGCTTTGTTGGGGTTCACAGTGTTTTCCATCAAAATCTATGGGAAATGTGAAGCCTGATCTGTAATGAGACTTCTACATATTTCATCTTTGAAAACGTCTTTTCGTTCAGACCAGCTCTGCCCAAGAAGAGCAGTATGTAAGCGTAGGGTTTAACGGAATGGACCCGTCGCTTAGGAGGTCTTTGTGGAATTGCTAGACTCTACTCCCCTCTAGCTCATTTCTAAAGCCATTCAGTATTTGATCACAGTGGCTGAGGATGGTCCTTGTTCAGAGAAATTTCAGTCTTGGTCCTGAGCTAATTAAAATTTCACCACCGCTGAAACCCTGAATTGCTGAGTAGTTGGGAAAGTCAGCTTCTGTTTCTGACAAAAAGTCACAGAACTTAGGATGGTCAAATCCACGAGAGCTCACGGAGCATACTGTTGGCACTCCTGGTTCTGTAACACACTACAGATGCAGATGTTTTCTGCAAAGTGCTTCGTGAGGACACCCAGAGGCTCCACGTGGCTTGTGTTTCCACAAGCTCTGTCAACAGGGTCAGCACGTCTTAGCAGATTCCGCTTCAGGTTGCACTGAATTTGTGTTTTCTCAGCTTTTTGAAAATACCCTCACCGGCGGTTTTAATGTGACCACTCAAGAGGCTGAATCTTTAGTCGCTGCATAAAGCACAGCTGAGCAGTATCAGGCACCTGCCCGCTCATGAGGAGCCAGGACACTCGTCCACAATCCTGTGCCACATTTCTTATTGACTACTGGTGCTCCAACATCCTTGACTCCCCAAGCAGCAATTCCTGCAGAAAGACTAATAGTCTTCAACAGGGTGGTACTCTCTGGACACCCTCCCTCAGCTGCCGCCATCGATCCCGACTGAACGAACTCACTGTCAGGTGGTTGTCCTTGCTTGGCAGACGGAATAGCCACTTGGAGTCTTACTTTGTGTCTCATTTTCGTTTTTGTGAAGAAATTCTGCAGTGAGGAGATACTCTGTTGTAAATGTCTTATGTTTGGGGGCATCTGGGTGGCTCGGTCAGTTGAGCATCTGGCCTCAGCTCAGGTCATGATCCCGGGGTCCTGGGATCGAGTCCCGCATTGAGCTCCTTCCTCCGTGGGGAGCCTGCTTCTCCCTCTCCCTCTGCTGCTCCCCCTGCTTGTGTTCCCTCTCTCTCTGTCATTCTCTCTCTCTCAAATAAATAAAATCCTTTTAAAAACGCTCAACAATAAGAAAACAAGCCAATTAAAAAATAGGCAAAAGATCTGAACAGACACATCACCAAAGGAGATGTGCCGTTGGTGAATAAGCTTGGACGTCACCAGGGAAGCTCACGTTCAAACAAGGCGATACCTCCAACCGCCTACAGCAAACCCAACACGTCGATGGCGCCCGATGCCGGCGAGGACATGGTGCAGTAGGGGCTCTCGTTCTGGGCCGGTGGGAGTACAGAATGGTGTAGCCACCAGGGAAGGCATCTTGGTGGTCTCTTATGAACATATGCATACAACCCAGCAGTCCCACTCTCGGGTATTTACCCAAAGGTGCCAAACACTCATGTCCACACAAAACCCTGCATGTGAATGGTTATGGAATTATCTATTCATAATCGCCAAAACTTGGAAGCAACCAAGACATCCTTCGGTAAATGAACGGATGAGGAAACTGTGGTCCATCCAGACAATGGAACGTTATTCAGCAACAAAGAGAAACAAGGCATCAAGCTCCCAAAAAGACGTGGAGGAGCCTTACATGCAATCGCTAAATGAAAGAGGTCAATCTGAAGCCAGTCCCGCGTGATCCCACCTATGAGACATTCTGGAAAAGCCGTGACGAGACAGTGAGATCCATGGTTGTCGGGGGAGGGGCCTTAGGGCCGTGAGGCCACTCTGCGTGACACTGTGCATGTCCCAAACCCACAGGATGTCCACCACAAGCAGTGAGCCCTGACGTCAGCCATGGACTTCAGTTAATACCGTGTTGGTGTTGGTTCACCCACTGTAACAAAAGCACCACACTGGCCCCAGATGTTAATAACAGAGCAAACCCGCATCCAGGGAGGGAGGGTGCATGACTCTGGATTCGCCACTCAACTTCACCGAAACCCTAAAGCTGCTCTGAGAAATAGTCTATTAATGAAGATTTCTTTTTTAATTTCACAGTCTGTACAAAAACAGCGGATTGGATTTGGCCAGACTGCTGATTCCCAAGCTAACCCATAGTAATAGTAATTTTGTTTTAAAGATTCTGTATTTTGGGTATTTTAAGTATTTGTAAAACTTAAGGGAATGTAGGCTGCTTTTAAAAAATTATCACTTAAAATACATAGTTGAGTAATTGATTTCTGCCTATAATTTCAAGTTAGCATTTTGTTAAGTTTAAAGACAGGGCTGACATGTTTATGAGAAGCTAAGAGTCATCATTTTCACTGGTTTGTCCGATTGACACCATTTTTAAGGGCTCCATTGGCTTTGTTTGTTAAGACAATGCAAGCATTTTTTTTTTTTTTACAGATTTGATTTATTGGGGGGGGAGGGGCAGAGGGACAAGCAGACTCCCAGCTGAGTGTGGAGCCCACCATCACGTCACGGGGCTCCCTCCCAGGACCCTGAGATCATGACCTGAGCTGAAATCAAGAGTCAGATGCTCAACTGATTGAGCCACCCAGGCACCCCAGGACAATGCAAACGTTTATAAAGAGTTATACATCAGATTTATAATTGCTGCTTAAAATATATGTTTAAAGGATTTTAACTAAGTTTGAAGTGGGAGCAACTATTAGTCAAAATTAACTTAGAGTGATCATGAACATTTAAGTTTACAAGTAGTATTACATCTGGGAACTGAACGTAAGAAAGGCTTAGGAGAGGGTCCCCTGGGTGGCTCAGGTGGTTAGGCGGCTGACTCTTGATTTTGGCTCCAGTTGTGATCTCAGGGTCGTGAGATCAAGCCCCAAACGGGGCTCTATGCTCAGTGTGGAGTCTCTTCTCTCTCTCCCTCTGCCTACCTTCCCTGGTGCTTGCTCACTCAAATAAACAAAATCTTAAAAAAAAAAAAAAAAGCTTATGAAATATTAGAAAACCAAATGCAACGTGTGGGTCTCATTTGGATTCTAATTCGAACAAACCAACTCTTAAAAAAAAATGCGACAATCAGGGAAATTTGAATACTGTAAGATATTACATGATAGTAAAGATTTATTTTTTGGGTGTAATAAAGATACTATAGTTACGTTAAAAGAAAAAAGAGACCTTCTATTTTAAAAACACATACTCTACAATTCAAGACTAATGGGTATAATATCTGGGATTTGCTTTGACATAATTGAGCTGATGGGCAGGGTTGGAATGGAGAGAACCGGCTGTGTATTGATCGTTGATTGCATTGATGAGGGGCACACGAGGGTCATTATCCTCTCTACTTCTGTGTGTGTCTGGAAATTTCCATGATGCAAAGTTGAGACTAAAAAAGCTTAAAGAAGAAATGAAATTTTAAGCTAGTTAAATATTAATCTAAAGGCCCAAGTAATTTCTAAGTGATCTTTTCTGTGCACAAAGCCACCATCAGAGAAACCCCAGAAACTGCGCGTATGGTCTCTTCAGGCTTCTAGGGGCAGAACTCGGGCCGGCGGGTGGCTTCCAGGGAGCCCAGCCCCCGGGAGGGGACGATGCCACAATGGCCAGTCAGGTCCATTCCGCCTGCGAGGTTCCGAGGGCGGTGCAGCCCCTCGCCCATCGGCAGTCGCGGCTGCAGGGAGGAGAGGTCAGGCGCGTTGTGGGGTCCTGCTGGGGAATCACAACAGACCTGAGCGTGAGCGCCACCAGCCTTCAGCTCCTCCAACCCTTCTGCAAGGTCATGGAGGAGATTGCTTGCCAGGAGAAGAACATCACAGTTCTGGAAAAGGCCATCCTTGACCAAGAAGGGCCCGCCAAGGTGGTTCACACACGCCTGGAGACCAGAACGCACCGGCCTAACGTGGAGCTGTGCCGCGACGTGGCCCAGTACCGGCTGCTCAGGGAGGTCGGGGAGATTGCCCACAACGTGGCCAGGTAGGCGGGCAGCGCGCACGGGGGAGCCTGCTGGGCGCTCGGGCCCCTCTCCCCAGGGCGGGCTTCACTAAAGGCAGCCACCCCGCAAACGTGTCCCGAGGTTTACACTTTTCTAGAGCCCCAGCCCAGATGTTTAGGTCAAAGTCGGTGTGTTTTAAATGTTGGTGGTTCTCGGGGTTTTCTGCCCGGGGCCACGGATTTGAAGTCTCCGTCTGGAGGGGAGGGAGGGGGCACGTGTCCGTTGGCTTCCCCTGGAGAGCGCGACGCAGAGAGGGGAGTCCCGATCCTGTGCCCCCTCTCCCCAGACTGAAGGAAGCCTTAGCCCGGGCTCAGGTGGAGCTGAAGGGCCTGAATCGCAGGCAGCTGGTCCTGCAGGAGGAGATCCAGGTCAAGGAGAACACCATCTACATCGATGAGGTGCTGTGCATGCACATGAGGAAGTCCATCCCCCTGCGGGACGGGGGCGACCAGGGCGAGTGGGCCGGGGGCCTCCGCCCCGACGCCGTCTGCTGACAGCATGCGTGGGGCTGACGCTGAGTAAACCGTGTCACAGTTGGGTGCAGAACTCTCATTTCAGGGAGGCGGACTGCAGGCGGGGCCTGGAGCCCCGGGCGGGGCTTGGGGGTTTGGGGGGATGGCTCTGCGCTGCTGGTGGGCAGTGCTGGCTTGAGTTACGTCCCTGCATATCCCCGCGTCTGTCCGCGCAGGCCATTCCTCCACATGACGGACTTGCGGCCGGGGGGGCGGTCCAGGACCCTTCCTTCACATTCCGCCGAGTGCGGGTCTGGATCCCCTCTGGAGACTCGCCCGTCTTCCTCGTCACAGGCACCAGATACCCCTTGGCTCTCCCGATTCCTCTCCCCGGGAGACCACGGGGGCGCTGCTGACTCAGACCCCCCTTCACGTCTTACAGAGAGCAGATGGGAGCCCTGACCCCAGAGCCCCCAAGAGCCTGCCCGGCACCTGCAGGCATCTCTGGGCTCCTTTCTGCTGGGAGACGTGAAGAGGACACACGGGGCCAGAGGGCCATCCAGCCCCCAGGAAGTCAGCCGAGCGGTGGGGCCCGAGGAGCTGGTGGGCCAGGCGGCTGTAGTCTGGGGTCACGGGGTACGGGGGGGCAGGGATGCTCCTGGTTCACCGGTTGGCAGGGACACCTGTGGGCCCATGTCAGCTGCAGGGTGGGGGCCGCTCAGGGCAGGTGGGTCCCGGCGGCTGCCACGGAGGGAGACAGGGAGGGGCCTCCTTTAGCACCAGGAGGACACGGGGAGGATTTCGGCTATTGTTTTCCCTCCTGAGTGTAAACAGAGGTGTTGGTCTCCAGGTCGATTAATAATCCCTGGGAGTATTTTTCTTTCTCCATTCTCAAGTAACAGTAAAGCCAAAGAGAAAAACATCCTCCCATTCCTGCCGCAGATTCAAGTCAGTGGTTGGACTGTAGGTTCTGGAGACAGAGCTGGGTTGAGGTTCCCGTCACGCCCAGCCCGTGGGGCTCCGTGGGGCTGAGCGAGCCGTGGGCACAGTCATTTCTGCGAAGCGGTAGCCGCAGCGGGGGCTGCATTTCGCATCCATGCCCAACCATCAGGGCGGTTCTGCACCCCCACAGCCTCCCGCCCCGCCGCTGTCCCAGGGAGGCCCGCGGCCAAGCCCTCACTCCTCCTGACGTCCAAGGGGCACCTTCCACGGGCCCTCCTGTGGAGCCGCCGCGACGCTCTGTGCTAACATTCGGCTCCCCTGCTTAGGGGTGACCTGCGCCTGGGGTCGGCCCAGCTCCTCCCACTCCTAGGGTCACCTGTAAAGGGACAGTTGGCCGAATGGCCCAGACCCCTTCCCGTCTTTGACGGTCTCTGCGTCTGGCCGCCCAGCTGCACTCGTGCTGTCTTGAGGCACAGACAGTCTCAGACGTGGGACCCACTCCCAGGAGGTTTACTGTCTAAGTCAGAGAGTCTGTGCTGTCAGCAAGGGGTGCCCCTAACCTGGGGTGCAGAGGCCCTCTCCGAGGCTGAGGGCATCAACTTCACGCCAAGCTGTGCTGCCCACCAAGGTGCTGAGCGTCACCTCCCGTGTGCTGAGCGTCACCTCCCGGGTGCTGAGCGTCACCTCGGGTGCTGAGCATCACCTCCGGGTGCTGAGCGTCACCTCCCGGGTGCTGAGCGTCACCTCGGGTGCTGAGCGTCACCTCCGGGTGCTGAGCGTCACCTCCCGGGTGCTGAGCGTCACCTCGGGTGCTGAGCGTCACCTCCGGGTGCTGAGCGTCACCTCCCCGGTGCTGAGCGTCACCTCGGGTGCTGAGCGTCCCCTCCC